CTTGCCCAGGAGGGCTGCAGGCTGGTGGACTGTGCCGGTCTCTTCCTGGGGCACGTGTGCCCCCGGATCTGCGTGCCATACGAGAGCAGCCTGCTGCCCACCCCAAGCATTAGGAAGAGCCCAGTGCCACCAGCAGCCCCCACCTGCAGTAGCAGCATGCTCTCGTCTGGTGTACAGATCTGGGGGCACACGCCCAACAGGAATAGCCCAGTACAGCCCCCCAGCCATGTAACGGCAAGAACCGTGCCCACCCCGCACTCACTGACAGCTCCCTTCACTTTGCTCCCTGCTGTAGTCCTGGGAGTAGCTGTGCCGCATGCCTCCCCCCATCCCTTCCCTAGTCCCAGCCTCACTCCCTCCCTCCCTCACAGGAACATATTACTTTCACCAATTTAAACCAGTTTTTTTTCTTCCTTTTTATCCCAATTTTAACCTGGTTTTTATGTTTGGAAAATAAACCCTGAAAAATTCCTGGAATTTTTAATTTTTTTAAATAAAAACTGAAAACACAGAAACCTACCTGTGCACTGCTGTTGTATTGCAGATTTCGGGGTAGTTGAAACCCCCCATGAGAACCAGAAACTTCTGCTAATTTTTTGAAGAAAGCTTCATCCTCCTGGTCCTGGGGGCTATAGCAGAACCCTACCATGACATCACCCTTGTTGCTCTCCCCTCTGACCCAAACTCGGAGACTTTCAGCAAGCCTATCTCCAGTTTCATACTGGAGCTCTGAGCAGCCATATGGCTCTTTTACATACAGCATAACTCTTCCTGTTCTTCATATTTAATACTTAATTGGGAAATAAACTATTCATTTTGGACTTTTGTTACCATTCATGATCTTTGATCTTTTGTTACATAAATATATCTATCTGTCCAATTCAAATATGTTGTTAATCCTATTAACGTTTTAATGTTAAAATGGTGCTTATAGAAGTGACCCCACTTAATTTTTTGCACTAAATAAGTACATATTATTGTATCACTGAAATAAATATAGTAGCCAAACTATCTGTTAGTGAAGATGAAATTTAAGTTTCAGAAGGTGCATATAATTTCCCAGTGGACTCTAGCCTGCTTTCTATTAATTTTTTTTGGCAATTTTTTAACTCTGAGGCTCGTGTGTGTGAAATAGTGACTAACAACAGGTGTGACAACCTCTAAATATCCTCCTACTCATTCTGACTGCATTTAACAGTAGGAAGGAATAATTCACCTTTGCTACCTTAAATCAAATATTGTTTTTTTTCTAAATGTAATTATACATGTAATTATGATTTTATTTTTACTTTTATGCACTCTTTTCCATTTTACTTTTTACCATTTCTTTACAAAAATTGCTACTTTGAAGTGAAGTTTCCTCTGAAGATAAAATTGTTTTTCGACAAGCCCTTCAAGCTAACCATTAACCAACACTAGGACTTTATACTGCAAATTGTTCTAGAAAGACGAGAAGCGTTAATTAAACATGTCTTAAGAGACACAGCATTATTTTTTTATTTTTTTTTTTTTAATGAATAGCATGGAAGGAATGTCAGACCTATTGAGACCTGCTTCTCCTTTCCCAGAAAGCAAGGAACTCTCGATTGAAGGCCTTCCCCAAGTTACTGTGTAACAAAAATTCCTCTTCATAATTGTACACGTTTTACATAGTTGATCTTCCTCAGAATGTGCAATGTTCTTAAGCACAGTTTATTTTAGTGTTTTTGTATTGTGACAGCTCTTTTGGCCTGAAGGTCTTTGTGGCTCCTGAGCAAATGGAGTCAGGTGGGAAAACAATCCCTTCCGAAGCTAATCTCGGAGACAGTATGTAGAATAACCATCCCAGCCCCAACACAGATGCTACTGTAGCAGGTTTGAGCTCTGTTACAGTAGAGATGACACTCCTAATAGTAGCTTCTCACTGCCTTAAATATTTAAGGATACATCACCATTTTCAAGGGGGAAGGAATGCTGTTGACCTCATAGCAGTGAAACTTCAAAATGTAGAACTCGATCAAGTTAATTTTGTATAAAGTGTCCTACTTCCTTCTGCAGTTGTTCCCCTCCTGTGTTGTTCATTCTTTTCAAGATATGGTTTAGTAGAAATAGTTAATTCAGGTGTCTGGGCTCTTCTATAAAGGGATTTTATTAACATTTGTAAAAATTTTATGCATTAAACTAAATTATGTTTGTTCCATAATGTTTGGGAACATAAACAGCAAGTCTTCCCTTCCCATAATCAGCTACGTGGTGGTGATGTTGGGTACTATCATGCAGGGTTTATGAAAACTGATTAATTAATTTCACTGGTGACTAGCCCACAGAGCTGTTGCAGCACAGGCAGCTTCACAACATTTTTACAAATTTGTCTGTTGGAAAACTCTTAAATATTCCATTTGTACGTGCATTTCTGTTCGGATCAGCTCAGTCTCTGTGCCCATCGAATCATCAGACTGGGCCCTATTCTACCCATTGGCTGTCTAAGTGGGCTTAGGGGGTTTAAATGTGATTCTATTCCATGTTGTCAGAGTCCCTTAAAATTCATTAATACATCTGTTTTTGGAGCACAGCATCGCTTGACCCTTAAGATTCAATCA